ATTTATTTTCATTTTTAATAAGTATTTGTGTTTGTTAATTCAACAGCAATATAAAATGATTACTGAATATAACTCATAATAAATAAACTAGTAATTACACATACATATATATATTATTGTATATAATGAAGTTATAAAATATTTTATTAATATATTTTAATATTAATTCAGTTACATGCCTTTTCTCTCCAATGATATAATTTACACAATTATATTTAGTTATGTTTTTTTTTTTTTTTTTTTTTTTTTTTTTTTACTTTTCCAAAATTTTTATTGAGGATTTAGAACGATATTATTAAAATATTTAAAAAAAAAAAAAATGTATATTATTAAAACGGAATGCATGATAAAGCAAAAATTAATTTAGCATAATTATTTTTTTTTAATTAAATGTGCATTACGTAAAGAAAATTTTTTATATGTATTGCTTAAGTTTTTTAATATATGAAACACTTTTTTTTTTTTATTGAATACATTTTTCCTTTAACTTTGAAATATGAAAAAAGTGACACATTAAGAATTTTTCATTTTTTTAATAAAAATAAATATCTTTTTTTAAAAGTGAACATATTTGTTATATTCTTTATTATGAATAAATCTTAAATTTTTGTACAAAAAAATAAATACTAAAATAATAGTACGAACCTTAAGTAAAAATGTAATATTGTAAAACTTAGAACAAATAATTGTATTTCTTTACATATGTTTTAATTTAATTTATTAATAAGGAGAACTTCATGTATATAAAAAATGAATAAGAAAAACTTTCATAAAAATCCCTCATTTTTAAATAAAACGAAATGAAAGATTTTAAAATGTAAATTAACACCATAAAAAATATATAAGAATTAAACAAAATATATACAGTATTATACTGTAATATATGATAAATATTTTTGTAGGTAAAATTAATAAAATATATAAACATATAAAAATTATAATTTTCCCTTTAATTATTTTAATGAAAAAATCCTTATTAATTTTGATATTTTTATCTGTTAATTAAAAATAAAAAAAAAAAAAAATGATTCTATTGAAAATATTATACATTTAAGAAATATTATCCTCTTGTATCTTTAAAAATTTTATTGAAATTTTATTAATTTACCTTTCATTCTTTTTTTTTTTTTTTTTTATATTTTGAATATTGTTTAGAAAATAAATATAGAAGTTTATATAATTATGGATTATAAATTAATAAAAAATTGTACTAAACTGAATGAATAAGAAAAGTGGTAGTTTTATATCTGAATTCAAAGTTATATGTTAATAATTTGTAAAAGTATTAATCAAATAAAGTTTTATTTGTGAAATAAAGAATGGAATTAATTTTTAAAGCTCAATATATATATTTTTTTTTTTCTATATATCATATTTTCTACTTTTAATTATTAAAGTATATCTTAAAATTTGTATATTTAAAATTATGTATCAAATTATTTCATTAATTATAAAATTTTAATAATTTTTATTTTTATTATAATAATAAATAGTAAAATATTAAAATAATGAATAATAAAAAATGAAAATTTTATTGCATGCATTTTAATATAATATTCACAACTTAAAAAAAAAAAATATTGAAATAAGCTTTTTATTAGAAATATGAATATATCACTGCATATGTGTGTAATGAAAAAAGTAAAATTATATAAATGCATAATGTACTAATATGTACGATTTATGTTATTAAAAATATATTGAGAATATATATTATATATATATATATATATATATGTATATATGTATATATATATATGTATATATATATATATATGTATATATATATATGTATATATAAATATGAATATATATATATATACATAATAATAAATTAAAATAAATTTACGTTTATTTTATTTTTTTTTTTTTTTTTTTTAACTTACAATTAGAAGAAATTTGATTTAATTATTTTAAAGCAATCCAAAATGAAAAGGAAAAAGCAAAATAACTTTTATGAATAGTTTACAATATATATTTAATTTTTTTTTTTTAATATTTCTTTCATTATTTTTTGAATTTTATTTTATTTTTTTTTTTTTTTTTTAAATATATATATCTTATTGAATTAAAAAATATCCTTCTTTATATTTTCAAAAGCGAAAAGAAAAAAATATTAGAAAAGTATATTTAAAAGAATAAAATTATAAAAAAATATATATTAGTTTCATATATATATATATATATATATATTTAGATTTTTGAATATTTCTTTTTTTAGGATTCCTTGTAAAATAAAAAATATATCATAAATAAAATAGAATAAAAATAAATATCATTGTAAATATGTCAAATAAAAAAAGAACTATTTTAAAAGTTATTATTCTTGGGGATAGTGGGTATAAATAAGAAATATTAAAAAATATTTATATAAATGTATTAAACTTTATGGATAATGATAAGAGAATTGAAAATATATATAATATTTCGAAAAACAAATATATTAATAAAAAATAAAATAAATAAACAATAAAAATTTAAATAAAAATAAAATGAAAAAAAAAAAAAAAAAAGAAGAAAAATAATAAAAATAAAACAAGATAAAATATAAATAATAAAACATTATATAAATGAAATATGGAAAAAAATGTAAATAATAAATATAAAATTATAAATTCATATATTCTGTACAAAGAAAAATAATAAAGATTAAATTTGGATAATTTACATAAAATTGTATATATTATCCGAAAAAAAATAGTAATTGTTTTAGAATAAATATTTTTCATCATATATATAAGATTTTCTATAATTATTACACAAAGGAAAATAATTATGTCTATGATTGAAAATTTATATAAAAGAATGAAAATTTAACATATGATATGAATTAGAGATTTTGAAAAATTAAACTTTTCTTATTTATTAAAATAGAAAATAACATAATAATGAAAGTAAATATAAATAAAGAAAAAAATAAAAAAAAAAAAAAATAGAGAATTATGAATAATTTTGAAAACAGTTATTTAAGAAAATAAATGAGTATTTAAATTAACTTATATAAATATAATTAAAAAAAAATAATATTTGCTTCATGAGTAAATAGAAGTTACTATTTTCTTCAAAGCATACATTAGTATTTTTATATTGAATATATTATTTTAATATTCCTATAGCAAAAATTAATATATTCTTCATAAAAAAGAACATCTTTTAATTTTTTTTTTTTTTTTCATTAAAAAATATATAATCCATTTTTCTTTTTTTAGTGTTGGAAAAACATCATTAATGAATCAATATGTAAATAAAAAATTTACGAATCAGTACAAGGCTACAAGTAATCATTTATTTTATTAATGCATTTGTTTTCATCATTATCTTACAATTCAATGTGTATGTTTTTTCTTTTAGTTGGAGCAGATTTTTTAACGAAGGAAACTATGGTTGATAATGAACAGATAACGATGCAAGTTAGAAGAAAAAGAAAAAAAAAAAAAAAAAAATTTATATGTATCATAAAAGCAATTGATACCTTTTTAAGAAAAAATATTTTTATAAAATATATAATAAATTATATGCATATAATCCCACATAAATTAAATAAGTATATTAATTATATATATATATATATATCTTTTTTTTTTTTTTTTTTACATAAAATCTTTTTAGATATGGGACACAGCAGGACAGGAGCGTTTTCAAAGTTTAGGTGTTGCTTTTTATAGGGGAGCAGATTGTTGTGTTTTAGTTTTTGATTTGACAAATTATAAAACTTATGAGTCATTAGAATCATGGAAAGATGAATTTTTAATTCAAGTATTAAAATAAAAAAAAAAAAAAAAAATTCATTTTTAATATCATTGTATATATTTATAATATATATTAATTATTTTTTATTTTTATTTTTTTTTTTTTTTAGGCAAGCCCAAAAGATCCAGAAAATTTTCCATTCGTTATAATTGGAAATAAAGTTGATGAAACAAACAAAAGAAAAGTAATTTTTGAACGTTTATAAAATTAGTTATATATGCATATATTTATATTTATATATTTATTTATTTTTTCTTTACGAAGGTTCAATCACTAAAAGTTTTGCAATGGTGCAAATCAAATAATAATATTCCATATTTTGAAACTAGTGCAAAAAATGCAATTAATGTTGATCAGGCATTTGATGAAATAGCAAGAAAGGCTATGAAACAAGAACATCAAGAAGAACAAATGTAAAAATAAAAATATAAGAGGAAAATAAAATTTAAATATATGTTTTAATATTTAGATTTAAGTTTATATATATTGTATTTTGTTGTTTTATATGAATACGAATTATAATATTTTGTATAAATTATATTTATAAAAATGATATATTATATTAATGGAAATAAGTTTTTTGTTTGTGAATAAATATAATATATTATACATATACTATATTTTCTTTGTTTATTATTGTTAAATATATTTTATATTTGCATATGTATATTTTATATTTTAACTTATTTATGAAGAATTATTATAATGATTGTTTATTCTTTTTTTATTTTTTTACATTTTTCAGATATCTACCGGAGACATTTGCTTTAAATAATCAAAGTGAACAAAAACCATACAAAAGTCGTTGTTGTTAAAATTACAAATATAAAAAGATATATTAATATATTAATTTATATTTTTTATCCGATAACTTTTTGTGGTTAAATATTTTATATAGTTTTTTTTATGCAAATAATATTTAAGTTTTTCCATATATATATATAAATGTTTTTATTAAATATACTTTTCGTGAAATATGCGTATATATATTTTTGTCCATACTAAAAATTTTTTTTATGGTAAAGTTTTTATATTATAAAATGAGTTACATTAATGGAAATATTTTTCTACAGTAAAAAATTATTTATATAAAAATATTGTGCATATTTTTTTTTGAATTTTTACATCTTAATTTTTATTGTTTATATTTTTATTTAACAGATTTCTACATTTTTATATATAGATATAACTTCATTTTTATTTTTTAAATATAACTTACGCCTTTTTTTTATTTTTTTTTTTTTCTCATTTATACAATTTTAAAGAACTCTTTCTGCAAAACTTAATACCGTACTATGTTATTGAAATTTTAAGAAAATTAATAAATTTTTTTTTTTTAATATAATTTTTTAAGATGTTTATCGCAACTTTTAAAACAAAATTAAAAATGTTGAATGAATATAATCTTCACATTTATTTGATATATGAATATGTATATTTTTGTTTTTAGGAAGTTCAAATTTTTTTTTTATTTATTATTTTTCTTATACTTTTTAAGTTTTTGATTTGGTTCATATATTACATTTTAATTAAATTTTAATAAACATTATTTTATTTTTCTTTAATCTCAATTTTTTTTTTATTACTTTATTATTTTCATTTTATTTTCTTTTTTCATTTTAAAAAAATTTTATTTTATTAAATAAGTTTATTTTTTACTCAAACCAATGTAGAAGCTAAGAAGTTTTTGTACTTTTTAAAAAATTTTTTTTACGTGCGTGGTATATTTTTTTAGTTTATATGTTTATTTATTAAATTTTATTTTGTGAAAAAACTAATGTTACTATATGCATGTTAATTATTAAATGTTCGTTAACTTTTTTTTTTTTTTTTTTTATAAAATTCAAATGAGATTTTAATAAAAGTTTGTCAAAAAGAAAAAAAGAGAGAAAAAAAACTTTGTTTTGAGAAAAATAAAAATTTTTCTTATGTTAAAAAAAAAATATATTCTTTATTATCTAAATATATATTATTTTTGTGTAAATATCAGTTGTATTATTATAAGACAAAAGCAATAAAAAATAAATATTAAATTATATATATATATATATATAAAATAAAAAAAATATAAAGTTTAAAATTTTTATGAAATTTAGTAGATTTCATATTTTTTAATTTTTTTTTTTTTTTTTTATATTATTTATATGGCTTATAAATTTATATGATATATAAATATTGTTAAATGAGAAATACAAAATTAAATAGATATATTAAAAAAAGAGAAATATTTTAAATAATTAAAGATGGAAGAAGGGGAAAATTTCTTGCCGAATATATACGATAAATTAATTAATACACACAATTATTATATAGATAAAACAACTTTATATTTAAAAACAAGATGGTTTCTTTTGCTTATTTTACTTATTTTATATATAGTTAGAGTATATTATGTTACAGGTTTCTATGTTGTTTCATATGCCTTGTCTATATTTTTATTAAATTTATTTTTAAGATTTTTAACACCTCATAATATAGAAGAAATTTATGAACAATATGAAAATGAAAATAATGGTTTATTATTACCAATGAAACAAACAAATGAAACTAAAAATGAAAACAATTCGGATGATAAAAAAGAATTTAGACCTTTTTTAAGAAAATTAAATGAATTTAAATTTTGGCTTCATTCAACAAGAGCTGTTCTTATATCAATTATATGCACATTTTTCCCATTTTTAGATATACCTGTATTTTGGCCCTTATTACTTTTTTATTTTATTTGTTTATTTTTAGCAACTATGAAACAACAAATAAAAAACATGATAAAGTTTAAGTATTTACCTTTTAATACATGTAATATTTATATTTGTGAAAGTTAATTTAAATATTTATTCACAATTTATTGTTAATTTATTTTTAATTACATTATTTTTTTTAATTCTTATTTCTATTTTTTTTTTTTTTTTTTAGCTACTAAACAGACATATGGTTCTATAGCTCGCGGAAGCAAAATAACAAAGTAAGATTAAACTTTTATTTATTTATTTTTTTTTAATGACATTATTTTTTATATAATTTTTTTTTTTTAATTCCAACTATATCTAAAAAAAAGTATTAGATTAAGAATATTATGTTTATTTAATTTTTGTTAGAGTATTTAATTTATTCTTTTTGTTTTAATTTTTTAATAGTTTTATTTAATATTGTAAATTCAATCTTTTAAATATTGAAAAATTAAAAACAATAATGAACTTTTACTTCAATAAGAATTAAATTATTACATATATATGAAAAATAATATATCTTTAAATGTTTGTTTTTTTAACATTTTAATATCAAAATACATATTTATATAGAATATTAAAAAAGGAAAATATAAAAAGAATAATAAAATTATTTTGTTGGATTTCTAAAATTTTAAAAATATTTTACTAATAGCTTCACTTAAAAAAGTATTGTATAAAATATATGTTTAATATTATCTATATAAATGCAAAAAAAAAAAAAAAAAAAAAAAGAAAAAAGAAAAAGGAAGAGTATTGTTATTTCATTTTGTTCTTCCTGACAACCTTTATTTACATTAGCTACTTGTTTTACTTAAATTGTTATTCTTATTAACTTAAAGGTCATTATAATTTACAACTTTACTTTAATGGTTGTAATAATTATTATGTTAAATGTTACATTTGAATTTTTGCTAAAGGATGTTTTTTATTTTACTATTATTCTAATTCATATTTCTATCAATTACAAATGATAACTAAAATTATAATAAATATTATTTATTTTTAAATTAATTTGAATAACACTGTTCCTTTTATTTATATCGTATTTCTTTATGAAATTTCATTTTTCTAATATTTCATCAAAGTCTTCAATCATTTCAAGATCTTTTTCAGATATTTCATATTCTTTCATTAATCTTTCTCTTATTATTCTTTTTCTTCTTTGTGATATTGTTTCGTTTGGTGCTAATGTATAGACTGAGTAAAGAAAAACGAAAATAATTAATGAATTAACAACAAAACTTGTAAAATCTTTTTTTATACTAACAAATAATTTTCCTCTATTATATCCAAAAACGCTCAAATTTCTTTTTGGCTGAGAATTTACAGCTTTATATTTTGTATTTGAAAAAAAAATTTTATTTTTTTCATTTTTATTTTTTTCTGTTGTATTAATGTTCAAAGAATTATTGTATTCATTGTTTTTTGTACTGTATGTTATTTTGTTAAAAAAATTTTCTTTTGTATTTCTAACTTTACATCTATAATAAAAAAAAACATTATTAACTTTAAAATTCAAACTTTTTTTTAATGAGTTAAAATTATAATTCATTTTTATACAAATTTACAGATTAAACATATATAAACATATTTTAATAATAAAGTTTTATTCTATTTATGCTTTTATTCCATATTTTCTTATTAATATATGAATAATTTCTTAAAAATAAATGAGTTTTAATTTTGTTTTAAATATACATTTTTTTTTTTTTTATTTACACTTTTTCTGTAAATGTAATTATATAAAAGTTAAATTTTCAAACTATAGAAAATTTTCATTTAAAATTTCACAGACAATATATAAGAATTTTTTTTTACATATTTATATTTTTATTAAAAAATTTATACTTTTCTGTATATATATTAAGTAAAGTAAATAATGTATTTCATTTATATATTTAGATAAAAGTAAAAATATTTTGAATTTATCTTTACAAACTCTTATTATTTTGTTTAAGTAATTATATAATATTTGTTTTATAATTAAAAAGTATATAAAATTAAAATTGAAAATATTTTATTTTAATTAAAATATATTTATATAATTTTTTTCTTAATATTTCATTAAATTGTTATAATTGAAAATTGAAAAATATAAAAATCTAAAAAATTTATAAAAGTGTTTTGAATATTTAAAAATAAATGAATACTTTTTAATAATTTTATTAAATAAAATTTTATAATGAGAAAACTTTTATATATATAAATAAGTCTACAAAAAAAATTTTATTAAATGATTTCACGATTAAAAAAATTAAAAATAATAACAAAAATATTTATAATTGTATTATTTTATTGTTTATTTATTTTAATTAACATATTTTTTAACATAATATTTACCTATGTGTAATCTAAATCTCAATTTAAAAACAAACTACTATTTTATTTAAAATAGCAATTTATTTTTTTTCTTATTTTAGTTAATAAAAAAATAATATTTATATAATTTTTGAAAATATTTTTTCATATAATAGGAAAGATGAATTATATATTTTTTTAGAATAGTCTAATATAAGCATTAAGATTAGGTAATTTTTGAAACAATTGTTAATATTGAGAATTATTTATTAAAATTCAGAATAAATTATAGTATTATTTTATTCATTTATTTTATGAAATTAGACAATATATTTAAAAGAGAATATTTTGCTAAATATATATTGTATATTTATAATATAGAAAAAATAATTTAAGGAATTTACATTATTACATTTTAATTATTAACATATATAAAAAATATATGTATAATTAATTAGATGAATCATTATAAAATAAATCCTTCAGAAAATTTTCACTGAGTTTTTTTAGTTATATATCATGTTATTTCAAAAAATAGGTAGATATAAGAAAAAAATATTAAAGTGGAATATCATTTTAAAAAAAATATTATTCAACAGAATTTTTTATGAAAAATTTTATGATATTTTAAATTTACTGAAATAAAATTATACAGTTCTAATTGTATTTTAGTTAATGACATTAAATGGATTTTTATTTTATAGTTCAGATGTATAAAATTAAGAGGTGCTTAAAAGAAATTTATTATTATAATTTCTTAATTTCTGCATTTATTTCTATTCGTATCTACAGTATTTTGAAACAATTATACACAAAGATGGAGACAGTTGTAATAATTTTATAGTTTTAAGAAAAAAAACACATTTTTAATATTTGAAAAATGATATAAAAATTATTAAATTATAATTAACAAAAAAAAGTTACATATTATTCTTTGAAGTAACTTTTTGAAGTAACTTTTTGTTGGGATTTTTAAAAAAAAATTGCAACTGCATTTTTTAGTATATAAAAAAGAAAAAAAAAAAAAAAAAATAGAACATTGGTTTATTTTATATAGAGAGATATATTAACACTTTTATTATTTCTTATAGTCATATAAATCATTAGTAACTTTATAATTGATATATGTTTATAAATTCTAAGAATTCTTTTGTGTTAAAAAATAAAAGCTTTATATTTAAAAATTTTCTATATTTAAATAGTATAGTAATCAGCTTATATAAAAAAAAAAAAAAAAATTTAATTTTAAAATCACACATTGATTATTTAAATATTTTTAGATATATATTATTTTTATTGTACATATATTAAAAGGAAATTTGCAACTTTATAAAATATTAAAAATATGTTAAAATAGAAAAAAAAAAAATTACATTTTGTTTTTGAAACATTATTTTAATTGCTATTTGTAATATTTTTAACTTTTATTTAGTTTATATTATAACGTAATTTTTTTCCTTTTTTTAAATTGAAAGCTTTATTATTTTTTTTTTCTTTACAACTGTAAGTTATTTCACTATCATTTATAAAGAATATTAAGATATTATATTAGTACATTTATATGAATAATTATTTAATATTTCAAACTAAGAAAAATACATTTCTATAAAAGAATAAAAAATTTTTCTCTACATAAAATATTTATTATTCTAATATTTCCCTTTATATGATTATTATATAAATGCTTTCTTTTATTTTAGAAATGGGGATACTACATTAACAAATGAAATATTATTTAAAATAAAAAAAAATAGTAGGTAAAAAATTATGATATAAATAACATTTTATATATAAGTTTATTATAACTATTATAGATTAATTCTTTATATTTTTTCAAATAAATTACACTTTTAAACTTTTTTTTTTTTTTTTTTTTGATTAATTCTAAATTTCACAAAATTTATTAAAAATTGTAATAGTTAATAGATATTATAAATTTTAATTTTCTTTTTGAGAATAGCTTATTTAAGTAGAATAGTTAAGGTAAAAATAAAAAAAATAAAAATATTACCTAAATAAAGTCATTCTTTTTTATTAATATTTTATATTTTTTTCTTTTTTTTTATAAATACTTTCGTTCTAACAAGTAATTTTTTAAAGAATATAAACTTTTATTCATTAAAAAAAGTGTATTTTTAATTTTTATATTTTTTTTAAATATTTCTAACAATAAAAATATATATTTTATATAATAACTATATTCATATTATTTAGTTTTTCTCTAAATTATTATTTGAAATCTATGTAGATAATATTAAACAATATAAACTGATCTCATTCAAGATGTAAAACAAAAATTTCACATTATGAAAAAATTAAAATAAGACAAATACGAAATTTTAATATTATATGATGAATTTTAAGCAATCAAAAATATTTTATTAACGAACAGTGTACTTTTGAAGATTGTGTTAGATATTTTATTAAATAGATTATTTATATTTATTAATATTATATTTAACAACATTAGAACCCTTTAATATTAAGTATATGAAACATATTTACAAATATATACGTGTTTTACAAAAATAAAATTTTTATAAATTAGAATTAAGTCAACATTTAAATGAATAATTTAAGGATATGAATTGTAGAACGTTAAGAGAAATAAAGATTTTTTATAATAATCATATAAAGAACTTTAAAAGAAAAAAAAAGAAGAGAATATATAAGAAAAAAAATTACAGTATAATTATACCTTTGGATAACAAATTAACAAAATTTAGGAAAATGTAAAATATTTCTATTAACCTAAATATAATAAACGTAAATTTTAGAAAGTTACTTCAATAATATATATTGTATAAATATTATATTTTACAATATATTATAATATTCCATTGAGTTAATTTCATTAGTGACTTATAAAAATAATTTTGAAATTTTTTTTAAAAATTTCAACAAATTATTATGTAACAATTTTTAGTATTAATCTAAGG